TGACTGATAGTGGCTTATTTGCTAAGGAAAAAAAGGAGCAGCAGTAGGCAGATGATAAGAATCAACAGAAAGAGAAAGTCTAGAGGTCTTTGAACTACCCCTCTCCCAACGTGATTTGTGTATCTTGCCTTGAACTTGTTCACCAAACAGGGTTACCAATAGAAGGTTTATATGATTGGCACAGAAAACTATGTACTTAGTTTCATTTTGTTCTGCTAGTTTAATAGAAACTTGGGGGCATATTCCCCTTGGACCTCATTTGGAACAATGGGGTTTTATCACTTCTTCTGGCCAACACACAGCAGGCCCTATCACATGTTCGGCACTGGAAAAAGCAAGTCAAACACAGACCTTGATTCAGAGGTACCTGGGTCGCCAATTTGCCACCAGATAGAGGAATAAGGGAAGTTAGGGAGAACCGGATTTTCAAAAGCCAACCAGAGTATAGATATCCAGAGGGAGGGGCCAGCATGGAAAGGTTCACCAAGGAGGTGGCGTTGCGCTAGAATTCACGGATACATGGTATTTTCCAAGGCTGAGAGACATTTTAGGAATGTTCAATATCTGTAACAGCACAATAGGGGCTGTATTTTAATTTTACCTTAAACCGGAGGAGTCTATGTCTTTTCATCTTAGAGAATTGGCTTGAGATGCTTCAATACTGCTGACCTGTTGGATTAGAATGCATCATGCTTAAGGATGCTTAACTAGCGGGGTGCAATTGTGCTTACTCAGACGTTTGCAGCTGATTAAAGCTTTATTTCCAGAGCCTACCCATTGTTTCAGAAGTAATTTGTGCATGATTATGGACGTTACTGTGTTACCTATTTATTCCGTACTAAAATATCGAGTTGTTGAGTTATTAAAAAGGGTTTGCCTTATATGGCCATATTTCTCTACAAGAACACATTGCTTTTTTTTTTTTTGCACTTTTAAGGGTGCAAGAAAAAAAACAACAACCCCAGGATAAAGGGCATGTTGGCGCGTTTCACTCCCCATCACCTAGTTCGGGGTATGGGTGAGTCCGAGTTAATAAGGGAAGGCTTACTGGAAGAAGCAGAGCTTGCTCTGACTCTTAAGCACGAGAATGAGGAACAGAAAGCCTCAGCAGATCCAGGCACGGGAGAGAGGTTAATGAAAAGAAGCCGAAATGGGGAATGGAGCACTTGTCAGCTTTAAGCTGTGTTGTGCCATATATTCACTTTCTCCAAAAATATCTCCGTCACGGGGACGTTCAAAGTCCTCTCTCGCCTTTTGACTCTGTTGGATGAGTGACACTTTAGGTCAGAGGCCAGCAACTTTTTTTTTTTGGTTCCTGTGTTTTGTTTTTTTTTTGTAGATGGTGAAGGAGTAAATACTGCAGGCTCTGTGAGCTATATGGTCTTTTTTGCCACTACTAACCCTGCTGTTGTTTCACGAAAGCAGCCATAGGCAATACATCAACAAATGGTGTGGCCATGTCCCAATAAAACTTTATTTATAAAAACAGGCAGTCAGGCCAGATTTCACCTGGGGCCGAAATTTGCTGACTCCTGCTTTAGGTCACTGTCTTCTGATCCTCAGTCTGTTGGGAGCACTGTCATGATATCGCTTACTCTGAGTAGCATCTGCATTATGGTTTACTTAATTTTCTCTCTTTCATTGATTTATTTTTTAAACAGACAAATTTATTTTAAAAGAAATTCTACAACATTACCATAAATGGAAAAACAGCATTATGTGTTATGAATAAGGGATCACTAGAAAATAAAAACAACGTAAACAAAACCATGTAATCATGTGCTGCTCATCGTGGGGACTCCCTGTGTTGGGAACCATTGACTGAGGCTGTTACCAATCTTTGCCTCTCAGATTTGATGAGTGTTCACTTAGATGTCTTGAAGGAACATAGACAGGCGGACTCCTTCTCCTTCATTATAGAGGCAGTGGCTGAGGAACTGTGGGGTGCGGGGACTGATGCATAGAAGGCCAGCTCATTATGTGACACCCCAAGAGGGCCCTCGGCTGGTGGTGTTGGACAAAATACAGAGCGCTCATTACACTTGAACTTCAGGCAAACAACAAATACTTTTTTTCATTTTAAGTCGTTTCTGTTTTTCAAGTACAGTGGATGCACACTATTCTATTAGTTTCAGGTGTACACCCCAGTGATGAGACATTATGTAACTTAGTGAGTGATCATCCCAACCCTTGTACCCATCCCACACCACACATAGTTATTAGAATGTTTTTGACTCTGTTCCCTGTGCTGTACTTTGCATCCCTGTGGCTATCCTGTAACTACCAATTTGCACTTCTGAATCCCTTCGCCTTTTACACCCATCTCCCCAACCCACCTCTGCAGCCGAGCTATCCCTCCCAGTTTTTATGAGACAGACGTGGGTGTGGGACCAGACTGTTCCTTGTATCCGCCCCTCCCACCAGTCTCCACGTGGCTTCTTTGATTTCCTGGGTGCAGGACATCCATTCAGCCAGATTTCAGGCAGTTCTGAGTGAGGGTTCTTCTCTGTTTTAGTTTTAATAATGATCTGGTTGTGTGAGGGAGCAGGTACTGCGCTTACCTATGTCGCCATCTTGACCAGAAGTCCAAATAATTTTTTAGCATGAAAATGTCCCATGCAATATTTGAGACATACTTGTGCCACAAATTTATTTGTTCTTCATCTGAAATTCAAATGTAACTGGGTGTCTTCCCACCCCCTCCTTTTCTTTTTTGCTAAATCTGTTATTCCTAGCCTGGTCCGAGAGCAGGGGTTCAGTGTGCAAGGACGCAGGGGTAGCAGGGGGTGGGGTGGTACTTTGGAAAAGGGAGGCAGGAAAGCAGCAATTCAGCCTACTTAAAATTGCATCTGTGGTTGGTCTCAGCAGGGAACAGTGACTGAAGGAGCCGACCAGGAGGTAGGGGTCAGAAATTGAGGCAAGTTCCTGTGACTTGGGGTCCCAGTCGGGAGTTTGGACACAATCCAGTTCTGCATCAGAAAACCGCTGGAGGGTTATAAAGAAGGGCATGTGTGATAGGACAGAAAACAATCTTCCACAGAACTTGCCTGTTAGCCTATTTATGTAGCTGTACCGTGCTCTGGAAAAATAATCAAAGGAGAATTTAGAACTGTTCTCGGATTGTCAGTTTTTCATCTAAAAATGTTAATGTACATTTAAACTTTTAATTAAAAAAAGCATATTCCATCACAAACTATTTTCATATGGAGTTTTTAGCAGTGCTGCACACATTTTGTTCAGAGCTCCACCAGGCTATTAAGCAGAATAATTTGGGTTTAAGAGTGAACGGAATCAGGTTGTATACCCCCAGGTTACGTCCCAAACAAATTACATTATTTAAACTGCAATCCTTGCAATGTACAGGCGTGCTCTCGGTCGTTCTGTGCAGGATGAAGTCGTAATTCAGTTGTGAGTTTCTGATGCCATCGGAGTTGTCAGCAGTCGACAGAGCCATTTGTGCAAAGGAGAGAAGAGGGATCTCATTACAGATCTTTAGAGCCAATTTTTCATCTTCCTTTTCATTTTAAAATGATCTTATGTATATAATTGCAGGCCTCAAAGACCTTGAAGGCCACACATTTGCCTGGATTTAGACTAAGTATTTGTGCACGTTTGTGAGTTTGTATGAGGATGCATTTGGACATGAAAATCTAATGCTGACAGGAATTTTTCTGTTCTCTTGTTTCTTCTCGGTGATTTGGATGTGATTATAATCAGGAAATAATCTGAATATGATAGAACCCTGGTGATTCCTAATGCTAGCGGTCAAGTGCAACAGCCACTTCCGTTTCTCTTTGGAAAGGATCGAAGAGTCAGCAGATACACGTTGCTTTTCCAAGACTGAGGAGTGCACGCCTAGCTCACCTGGCCACCAGGTGGCGCTGCAGCCATAAGGAAGTGTGGTCACAGTTACACAGTTTGGCTGTGGCATTAAGGAACTTTTCCAAGGCTGGAATTGGGAGAGAGATAGCCTTTGTATCTCTGGCTTCTCTGGATTGTAGGGGTTTTGGGTTCGCCTGCGTATTTTGTGTATCTAGGATGTTGCCGAAAGGGGAGAGGATTATTTGATTAGGATGTGATGTTTCTTGTATTGTGTTGTAAAGTGTGCCCACGCGCATGGTCAACGATTTGCTAGGGATTGGTGTTATTTGGGGAGTAGGAAGGGAAGGGAAATGTCACACTTCCATAGTTTCTGAGCTGGATGGTGTGTTGCAGCTGGACAACAGATCTGGTCCTGGCCTGTGGCCCCTGGGTGAGAAGGCTGTTTTTGCTTCTGGCGCGTGCATGCTGGGGGCGCTGTGGGAAGCGTTCTCTTCTTAGCGACACCAAACTGCTGGGTGACGGTAAGTCTCATAGCATCCCTGTGTGCTCCAAGCTCCTCTTTTAGCTGTTTTCTTTCTGTTTTTAACTACTGAGGGAAGTAACTCACTGTCCAAAGAATATTTTTTTTTGTTTTTCTTTTTTGAACAGAAGCCAGATATTTGAAAACTAGACACCCACTATCGCCCCCAAGAAGAAAAGAAACCAAGGAAGCATCTGGTAGGAGTCTCAAAGAATGAAAACTAAACAACAGCAACACGAGTTGCTCTCAGAATACTAGAACTCCCACAATGAATTAGCAAAACCATTTCCTAGATAGTGAAAGGTGGGGCATTGATTGAAACTGAAGTGTGCCAGGTGGAAGAAAATTTGCTATCAAAGGATATGAAGAAAAATTTGCTGAAGGTATAGTGGTAATTAAATCAGCGAACAATGGGATTCATAATGAAAATGGCAATGGCTATTGAGGTCCTACTATGTGCCAGGTCCTAGGCCAGACACTTTGGTATAATGACTTAATCTTTTTTTTTTTTGAACTAAAAAACAAATTTGTTTATTGAGAGCAAGAGGATGCAAGCAATATAAAAATCGAAAGCTTATCTGGCTTTAATTGGCTTTTCTTTCTCTTGTCAAATGGGGGTGGGATTTTATTTGTACATTTTCTAAGGGTCCCAGTCTGCTCATGAAGTCCTCATACAGGGGGAAGCTGTGGGGCAGAGATTCCTTAAGCGACCCCTTGGGAGACCTCTTTCTTGGGGAGGAAGTAGCTGCTCAGCTGCCCACTTCTTTCCCTTCTGCTTCATGTGCACTACAAAATAGTCGTTGCACGCGATGGTGAGCCCAGCGATTAGCGAAAAGAAGCTCTGGAAACCCACTCGGCCATCTTGGCATTGGTCCAGGTCTCTCATTATTTTGTCTACGGCCAGAGGGTCTTTTTGATTTTCCACAAATCCAGGGAACTCCTTTTCCATGAGCACTCTCAGGCCCTCCTTTGTTAAGTAGCCTTTATCCCCAGCACATCTGTGAAATGTGAACGTCATCGTTTCCGTGGCGTGTTCCATCTGAGACGGCATTTTGGTGAGGTCTTGGCCCGAGGCGCGACAGGATTGCTGGGCTGGCTGGGATGTACGACTCAATCTTGATGACAGGTTTCTGAAATGGGTGTTATCACCCACTTTGGCACGTACAGCAATGGTGGTTTAGATAGGGCAAGCACCTGGTTTGGGTTCTTACACCTTTAAGGGCTCCACTTAGAATGAGGTCTATTACGTTCCAGCACTGGGTGCTGGTGTTTGGGAATTGGCTCCATGATGGACAACGGAGGTAGAGATGAGGTTGCTCCTTGCATCTGCAGACCTACCACAAAGACTGGCTCGTAGTAGGACTCTGGTAGGATGTACAGAATGTAGTAATAGCTTTATATTTGGGTGTCCCTTTCCAGGTTTGGTTTGGAACATTCTTTATTTCATTCAACCAACCTGAGACCAAGTTTGCTGGGTTGGGGGGAGAGTCTCATCCAGTTTTAGGAATGAAGAAGCTGAAGCTCTGTTGTGGTTGAGGAAGGCTCTGGAGTTCAGGTTTTCTGGCTATGGACCACAGGGCACCGTAGTCCATGGAGGGGCCACGTGATTTCTGTAAATGAAAATATGTACGATGTAATGAATAACACTTCTGTTGTTTTTTGTTATGTATGCATGACAAGCATTCCAACAGAAAACCCAGAATTGACAGTCTGAGGGGAATGGGTAGGGTTTTAGCCATACAGAGACCTTTTTACTTTTAAGATATGTTTTTTAAAACTCTTACCTATAATAAATATTTATTCTAAAAAACCTAGAAGATACAGATAAGCAAAATGAAATATAATGAAAACCACCCATTGTACCCTCCACTTCAGAGATAAACATTTACATCATCTGCACTTTTTTCTATGCATATATATGTTTTTAAAAATGAGATGGTGGTCTTGTAGCTTGCTTTTGAAATTTAACATATTGTACGTGTCTTTATGTACCAATAAATTACTTCTACATCATCATTTTTAATGGCTATAAAGTGACCTACTAAATGAACACACTATAATTTCTTTAACCAATCCCTTATTGTTGGACATTTGGGTTGTTTCCAGATTTTCACTGTGATAAAGCAGTATGACAATGAACACCCTTGAATATATATCTTTGTGTAATTCATCCTGACCCGTCGTTTTACAGATGAATCTACAGAGACCCAGAGAGCTTATGAAGTCTATCTGACGGGCAGAACTTGGGCCAGACGTAGGTCCCTGACTAGCTCTTCCCCTGTTACATCTGCGGAGGCCACTGAATGTGTCTGGTGGCCGTGGCTATGTCTCCCGTGGAAAGGGAGGGATTCCTGGCCTGTGCTGGGCATCATTCAGCGGTAGAGCTAAGCTGTCTCCTGAAAAGAATAGGCACATGAAAAACAAAGACAGATATAGTTAGTTTATGCTTTAAAGGTATTAGGACAATTCTTTCTTTAAACCTCTTTTTTCTCTTTCTTCTATAACATTATACTTCTCTAGTTTCCTGTCTGCTTCCCTGATTTCCCCTCCCTCCCTCCCTCCTTCCCTTTTCCTGTCTACCAATTGCCCACATTACTTGAATTTATATCTTCACATTTCTTCTCCCTGTACTCTTTTCCTCTGCCATGGCTCCAGCTATCACTTCTGGGTAAATGACTCCCCGATCTAACCCTCACTCCCCAAGTTCCTCCCATAGGCCAGTTCTCCGTGTCTTACTTAGGGCTCTGCAGGCATCTTGCGCTCCTGGGACCAGCACGTCTGCGGAAAGCCACCCATTTCCTCAGGCCAGAAGTGGCTCCTCCTTCATCTTTGTCTCATCTCCCACCTCTTGCCAAGCCCACTCCCTTCCCAGTTTCTGGCGCTTGCCTTTCTCTCTGCATTCCCACTGCCGCTGCCCTGATTCTGATACGCGTCACCTCTCGCCCAGCCGGTCGCAATGGCTCCTCACCTGTGTGGTCCCGCTGCCCCTCTTCTGTTCCTGGCCGGTTCATCCTGCCCACGCTCGGCAAATAAGTCTTGGAGGTCACTGCTCTGATCCACACTGTCCACTGAACAGACTCCCAAGCTGTGAGCCTGGCCTTGCCCAACCTTTGTCATCTGACCCTACACTACCTCCCTAGCCTCATGAACCTTGTTTCTCTAGAGTAGATATGGTGCATCGTGCTGGGATCCTGATGCTTGTCTTAACACACCCGGCTCATAACTGGCTCTGAGCCTCGGTCGGGCCGGTTCCTGGGCTTGAAGGGCCTGCCCCCATCAGACTGTGAGATCCTAACATGGGAATGCCACCTTTTCCTTGGAGCCTTCCCTAGTTTCTTAAGCCCGAGGCGATCCTGGCCTCCTCTGGTTCGCCGCCACCCACTGCTGGCAGTGCCTAGCCCCCCTGCAGCCATCTGTGCAGCCGTTCCATGCCGCTCGGGTTTTAAACGGCTCGCGCAGACCCTTTCTCAAACCCTCTTCCCTCCACAGGAGCGCCTGCCCCATGCTAGGTTCCCAGAAAGTATCTGTTGAGTAAGTATATGCAAATAATTTAGGGTCTAAGAAATTTTACGTAAATTTATCGGAAGTATGACCGTAGTATGGAGGAAATTTTAAGGGCTTGCTCTTCTTAAATGAAAAGGACACACAGACTTTCTATGTATTCATGATAGCTGCTACTTATCAAATCTTCTCCTCGCTCTGTGGCCTGGCAACACATGCAAAGGGGACTCAGACACCGTTGGTTAGAAGGTCAGTGGAGTTTTCCGGAAAGATCTACTTTTGTAAGTAAGAACCAGATTCTCTGTCTTTAAAATATGCTCTGCCCCATGACCTCTAGCAGAAAGGTCATAGGCATGGAGGCAGAACATTTGGCTTCTGTTACTTACAAACTGAGTGACTCTGGGCACCTTTTCTCATCTGTAACATAGCATTGCCTATCACGTTACTTAAGAATTGCATTTGGCTGTTGGTAACAGACATTTGATATAGCAGCTGGGAAAAAAGAAAGATGTATTTATTTATTTATTTTTTGCCTTGAAAATTAAGTCTATAGAGAGGCCTATAACAATGCAGGTTTTACTGTGTTTCCCTTCTTGGTGTGTGTTTTTTCACCTTCAATGTAGCCTCACAGGCCAAGATGGCTGCTTGAGCTCCAGCTGTCATGTCAGCATTCCAAGCAAGAAGGAGGAAGGTCCCAAGGTCACTTCCTCCTACCTGAGAGAGCTCCCTTTAAAGTTTCTAGGGGTGTCCAAACTTTTGGCACCTCTGGGCAACAATGGGAGAAGAATTGTCTTGGGCCACACATTAAATACATTGCCACATGTGATCATAAAAAGAATCTCATCATGTTTTAAGTAAATTTACAATTTTGTGTTGGGCTGTATTCACAGCCATCCTGTGGGCCACGGGGTTGGACACCCCTGCTAAACAGTTTAAAAGCGTTTTTCCAGAAGGACTGCCCAACAACTTTGGCTTAGAGCTGACACCATGCTTCTCAGCTCCAGCTACATGTTTGAAACATGTGAAGTCTTTCAAAAACCACCGACACTTAGGCCTCACAACAAATGAATTAAACCAGAATCTCTATGGTTGGGGTCAGGACACATTTTTTTTTTTTTAAATGATCCCAGAGAACCGAATTGAGTAGCTGAGGTTGAGAACCCTTGAGCTGGGCACCCACATAATTGATAACCCAAATTGTAGTTTGAGAGTGAAAGAGGGACAGCTGGCTTCAGGGACAGCTGCGCCTGTCCTGGGCGGACTCAGAGGTACGGAGACCCAAATTGTAGCTCCCCTCTTCCCTTGTCTGTAAGGTAGCTAGGCACCAGGTTTTCTGCTGCGTTGCAGTGAGGAGAAAGAAGGGGAGAAAAGAGAGTGGTTAGGCATTCTGGGCTTCCTTCCATTCCTTCCCAGGGTTTGGGGCAGGATTAAGTGAGATGTACGTTCAGGAACTCCCTTTGTAAGCTGAAATGTATCGAAGGTGTGTTTGGAAATAAGAATATCAGAACCTAGTTAACAAATGCTCACTGGGAGGTGATGGCTTGTGGTATTTTTCTTTTAATTTTTATTATTTTTAGAGAGAGGGGATGGGAGGGAGAGAAACATCTATATGTGGTTGCCTCTTATGTGGCCCCCACTGAGGACTTGGCCCGCAACCCAGGCATGTGCCCTGACTGGGAATCGAACCGGCAACCCTTTGGTTTTCAGCCTGTGCTCAATCCACTGAGCTACACCAGCCAGAGCTTGTGGTGGCTTTACAGAGTGAACTTTGGAGGCTGATAAAGTACCCTGGCTTCCAACTCTCTTCAACATCTCCATGATGGTGCTTAGCGCCAAGGGTCGTTACCACAGTTAAAGGGGTTAACGTGTGAAAAGGATTTAAACTGGGGCTTGGCTTGTAGTGAGTATTCAATAATTGGCCACTTATTATTCATAAGATTACTTCGGGAGATGCCAATAAAAAGGTCACCTTTGCTGTCTTTCAAAAGTGGACAGTGTCAGAGGTGTTTTCAGGCTGACACTGGCCAAGAGCCCTTTCTCCTCTCCTGTTGGCTGGGAACTGAGCAGGGGAAAGAGGGAATTACAGATTCAAAGGTCTTCCTATTCCCCAAGCCCCCCTGTCCTGACTGACCCCCCAGCAAGGGGCTGGATTGAATTACCAGTGGGGATCAGCCTAATAGCCAGAATGACATCCATTATTTCTGTGACTTGATCCACACATTGGGAGGTGCGTGTATTTGAAGTAACCTTTGCCTGTGGCGGTTCTGTCTCCGGTGAGCCCTCCTTCTGGCCACTGTGCTCCAGTGTAATCTCCCTTTCCATCCACTCAGTTGCCAACTTGTAAACTTTCTTCCCTGGGGCTTGCTCCTCTAATCTTGCCTTCCCTGTGTTTTGCTGTAGTCTTGTCTTCCTTTATTCATTCTGCATTGCTTTTATCTCCTTACCTTTCCGCCTGCTGAGTGTAAACAAACCTTAAGGCAAAAAGAAAAAAAAACCTGAAGCTGGGCAGGATACTTCCTAGCTCCCTTGAAGGGGAAAACACAGTCTAAA